ACATTCAAATGTTCCTCTCTTCCCCTACCTTAAAATCTTATCTCTTTTAGTCCTCACTCCTCAAAATGAACAAGAATAAAACACAACTAAGACTGTTAATGATGAAGAACATAAGAGAAACTTCTATAGGATGTTTGAAATGCTTTTTCAATACAAATCTAGAAAATAACTAATAACTAAAGAAAAACTATTTCAAGTGTTTTCTATGATCAATGTTTGAACAATTGCACTAGAAACAAGGAAAAAACACAATCCTTCTCAGAAGAAGGAAGTCTAAACTCAAATTTTATAATTTTCTCTAACCAAGGAATTATAGCAGATTTGGGATCGAATCCCACCTACACCTGGGTCAAAATTATAGATCCATGCATTGAGAGTAGGGTTGTACAAGGGCCAGTTTAGTTTGGTTTCAGTTAATTGTACCAACCAAACTGATACTATCGAGTTGACATTTGTACTGACCAAAGATAACTTGCAAACTCTTAAAACCAATTATATCATTCAATTTACTCAGTTAAACCGTTAAAAGTTATCTTATGGTGGTATTGTTTTGTATTGCAATATTAAAGGTCATCATTTACATTAAATGATAACTTTGTACGGAGAAACTAGGCAAGAGTTTAGGTCTCACCATGAAATTAGATTAGATGTGTGGTGATAGACCTCATTTCATTCAAACAATTAGATGGTGTTTTTTTATCATTATATTTATGGGATTGAGGAGAAAGTACAGAACCTAGCCTAGGAATCTAGCACTAGGATGGTAGATATATAAAGCCTAAGAGCTATTGATTGTATGAAAACATTGACAAAAGAAATAAACAAAACCACTTATTTCATAGCATATGATAGGTGTAGTTGGTTCGGTTTAAAATTGGTTTATAAAGTCAAAACCCAAAATCAAACCAATACTTTATAATGAATAAAACCGAAGCCAACCCAACTCATTTGTAAGCTGACCAAATTGGATAGAATCGATCCGGTTTGGTTTGTTTTTACCATTTTCTCTCTCTCTGTTTGAGACACTAGAGAAAAGGGTATCCAATTTTGTCTTAGTCATCATCCATCATCTAGCATTATTGTAGTCACAAGACTAGAGTGAAGAAGATGTGTGTGGATTTGTGACTCAAAGAAGCAGAGTTTATCTTAGGTTATTTAGAAAGAGACATTAAAAAAAGTGGGCCCACCTATAGTTAATACTTTATTAATTATTGTTAAATAAAAATAATTAATTTTGTTTTTACTATTGCTCATGTCTAAAGAAGTGGGAATTTTAAATGCCACCCACCTATAACTTTTTAGATTTATTTTGACTTCAGTAGTGTCATATCAACAAGTCTAACAAAATGGCTAATAACGTCTCTAACATCATCACTTTTGGATTTATTGTGGTCTTTTCACCACAGCCTCTTTCGAATCTTTAGGGTCAAAAGTGGCTTTTTATGCAATATTCAAGGGTTGCTAGAGCCAAAGACTTGTTTCAAAATAGAAATTTCAGTTTAACCAGGTAAAGTTGCTAATTTATATATGATTTTACAAAAACATCATAGTGAACACAAGACCAAAACTGAAGATCAAAACTCATTTGACATTTATGCATTTTGAAGCCAAATTGTCAAACATCCTTCAATTGTTTGGTTTGATCATTTATCCTAGTTTGTGTTTTTTAATTTCTTTTTATTTCTACATTTTTCTATGTTTTCTGTAATTTTTCTATAGCTTTTTTGAATTTCTGCAAATTTATGTGTTTTAAGTATATAGGTTTACCCTATTGATATCTACCATGTGGTTAGGGGTGGCCACGAGCTAAGCTCTTCACAAGCTACTCAAGCTCGCTCAGCTCAATTTCAACCGAGCTTCGAGCCGAGTTCAAGCCTAATAAATCTCGGCTCGTGAAGCCCGCGAGTCGGCTCGAATATCTACATACATACATAATAATAATAATAATAATAATAATAATAATAATAATAATAATAATAATAATAATAATAATAATAATAATAATAATAATAATAATAATAATAATAATAATAATAATAATAAAATAATAATAATAATATATGATATAAATATTATATATTATTTTTATTTTTATATATAATAATAACTAATTATTATAATTCTTAATTTTTTAAAATATCAAATAAAATTATATATATTTTTTAATTTTATAAAACATTGTTCTCAAGTTAAACTCGAATCGAATTTAAACTTATGAGCTTTTGACTCGAGCCGAACTCGAATAACTAGCTTTCAGCTCGACTCAACTCGAATCCACCCTTACATGTGATAGTCATGAGAATGACAAAACAATTTTCTAAAATTGATTTTTAGGTACATGGGTTGACCTAACCCATATCTACCACATGACAATCATGAGAATGACAAAACATTATATTTGATTTTAGGATTTGCGATTAGCCCAACCCGTATCTGCAATGTGGTACAAAACAATCCTCTAAAAATTATTTATCTAGTATGTGGGTTGATCCAAACCATATCTTCCATACATACATACATACACACGTGTGCGTGTATATGTATGCATATGATTGTATATCAGTCTATGTATAAAGTATCTATAAATAAAATTTGTACATATTTTTAATTAATTATACTTTTAAATTGGGTCACATAAATCATTTCAAACCCGATCAATCCGTCCAAACTTAACTAATCCAACTTGGCCCAGCCCGAACCCAAGCCCAACTTGAGTTGTGTTTGGTTAAGCTTGGATTGGGCCTGGGTTGGTAAACTTAAGTTTAACCTCAAGTTGGACTAGGTTTGACCCCGAGGTTTGCACCTTTAGGAATGGGTCTAGATTGACCTTCAACTCGACCCAAACCCACTTGAGTTGCACTCCTAATCATCAGCATCATAAAAAATTTTTGCGTGTGAAGCACGTGCACACTTACTAGTTCACTTAAATACACTTACCTCAACGAGTGTTTCCTGTTTCCTAAGAAATATATTAAAAGGAACAATTTTGTTAAATAACCTAAGGAAAATAATTTTTTCATAGATTCCACATAAATCAGAAAAAAAAACATGGGTATCTTAATCAATGAAAACTAAAATCCCATTGACCAACTTTGCCCCTCTCAAAATCGAGAAAAAAGGGGCCCTAAGTAAATTTTTATACTTTAAGGGTAAATAATCGTATGATAATTAGACCAACYTGCAAACCCGACCCAATACAACTCGAAAAAACAGGGTTAGGGTCTCATATTTAGCTACCTGAATGTGAAAATGACCCGACCCGATCCAATCCGGAAAAAAATTGGGTTGGGTCATGGGTCAACCTGTTGACCCGATTGTCAAGTTTAATTGGAACTATATATGCATTGTTAGAAGTTTCCACTCTTTAATTTTTTCTATTTGGTCTTACTCTTTATTAAATTGTTAAATGTTCAAGTTTTTTTATTTTATATTTGAAATTTTAAGGTTAATTYCTTTAATTTTGACATTTTCATGTAATTTTTCTTTATTTTTTTAAATTTCAGTTATTTTTTRGGATGACCCGAATTGACACATGGGTCAACCCTAACCCGAACATTTAGAGTTAGGGTCTAGCATTTGATAACCCAACCCGAAATTCAACCCAACCCGAAGCCAACCCAGTGTCTTGGCCCAACCCGAACCCAATCCACTAACCCAATTGCAAGGTCTAATGATAATAAGAAGACAAAGTAATAAATCATTCAATTCAGGCTGTTCAACCACTTCATCCATTGTTGAACGTCCCCTAGGTCCTCACTAGTGGTGGCAATTGGGTGGGTTGGGTTGGGTTTGGTTTGGGTTGAGCTTCAACCCAACCCATCTAACCTACCAACCCATTAATGACCCAGTTATATAAAATTAAATGGGTTGGGTTCAACCCAAACCCGTTTTAACCCAATCCAACCCGTCCAAACCCATTAATCTTATATTTATGGACTTAAAAAACAAATTCTCTTAACAAATAAGTTGGCCATAGCTTGGTGGTAATTGTATGTACTATTTACACAAGTAGTGAAGGTTCAAGTCACATTACATGCATGTTATTTTTACACAAGCGATGAAACCATTTGACTATGTTCAGATTTCGGATTTGACCGAACCACTTAGGTTTAAACTGGMCAGACCAACTTGAACTATCTAGTTGGATTATCTTTGAGCTAATCACATCAAGGGTGGTTGAACCATTTAGGTTTGGATCAATCCGATCGATTTAGTCAATGGTGAATTAACTTGGACCAGACCATATCATATTTATACACGG